AATTGAGGATTACACTACTCAGTTCCAAGCTCTTCAATTTGAAGTCACAATGCATAGCTCTAATGTTGATGAGCTCTTCTTTGCCACCACTTATGTCAATGGGCTCAGAGAGGATATTAGAGCAGTAGTGGAGCCCCATGTACCAACCACTGTCAGAAAGGAACAAACCCAAGTACCAGAGAGCACAAGACTAGGCCAGGCCCCAACAACAAAAGCAAGAATATAAACCCAATGCAACATATGGGAGTTGTGGAGGGACAAGCAACTGAGAGATTATAGAAAAGCCAACTACTTGTGCTTTCACTGTGGAGAAAATTTTGAGCCTAGCCATGCTGAGATCTGCACAATGAGAAACAAGCCCCAAATCAATGCATTGGTGGTCAATGATCTAGATAAAGAGATCAGTGAAGATCTATTCAATGAAATGGCAATAAATGAGCTATTGACTGTAAGACTTCTGCCAATTATCATTGAATGCTATTGCTGGCACTGAGTCCAAAGATTGCATCAAACTGAAGACCGCAGTGAAGAACAAAACAATGCTCACCTTGGTAGATACAGGTAGCTCACATGGCTTTGTAAGCGCTCATTTTGTGCAGCTAAACAAGCTACCTACAATTACTATGGATAAACAGAAAGTCAAGCTTGCCAACGGGTAGTGGATGATAGCAACTAGAAAAGTACAGAATCTGAGCTGGTACATTCAAGGCCACACATTCAATCTGATATGATTGTGTTGGACCTCTTACCATATGATGCAATACTGGGTTATGCCTGGTTGCAGGACCACAGTCCTATGTAATGTGATTGGGTGGCAAAAACATTGACATTCCAGCATCAAGGCAAGAGTGTCACTTTGCAAGGACTCAAACCACAAACCCTTCAAGTGAGCAACATTTCGGCCAAGCAAGTTTACAAGTCCACCCAGGGTAATGATATCTGGGCCTATGTGGTATTGGACATCAACAAGGATCCAGCCCCAAAACCTTGCTCCGTACCAGTAGCTGACAATGAGGACATTCAACTATTAATGCACCAGTATGCAGATGTCTTCAATGATCTAGAAACCCTCCCACCATCACGAAGTTATGATCATGCCATTCCATTATACCCTGAGGCAGTACCTATCAATTCAAGGCCATACCACTACTCACCACAGCATAAGACTAAAATTGAGAATCAAGTGAAACAACTATTGGAGCATGGACTGATAACTCATAGTCATAGTCCATTTGACTCACCAGTACTATTAGTGAAGAAGAAGGATGGCTGCTGGAGATTTTGCATTGACTACAGAAAGCTAAATGCAATCACCATCAAAAACAAGTTTCCACTGCCAATCATTGAAGAAATATTGGATGAGTTAGCTAGTTCCAAAGTATTCACCAAATTGGATATGAGATATGGATATCACAAAGTTAGGATGCTGCCTGCAGATGAGCACAAAACAGCATTCAAGGCACATCAAGGTCACTACCAGTTCATGGTCATGCCCTTTGGCTTAACTAATGCCCCAGCTACTTTCCAATGCATTATGAATCAAGTTCTTGAACCCTTCCTAAGAAAATTTGTACTAGTGTTCTTAGATGATATCCTCATCTATAGTAGAACCATGGAAGATCATGTCCAGCACTTGTAGCAGGTTTTGGAAACACTCAAAGCTAACCAATTATATCTCAAAGCAAGCAAATGCACCTTTGCCAAGAGTAGCTTAGAATACTTGGGACATATAATCTCTGATCAGGGGGTGTCCACAGACCCAACTAAAACTCAAGCAATGATCTAGTGGCCAGTTCCTACATCTTTCATAGAACTTAGAGATTTTCTTGGACTAAGTGGATATTACTGGAAGTTTGTGAGAAATTATGGGATCATTGCTAAACCACTTACCTTACTCCTCAGACAAAAGCAGTTTTAGTGGAATGACAAGGCAACACTGCATTTAACAAGCTGAAGACTGCAATGACCATAACACCAGTCCTAGCACTACCAAATTTCCAAGCACGGTTTACTGTTGAAACAAATGCATGCTCTAATGGAGTGGGGGCAGTATTGATGCAGGCTAGTCAACCCATTGCTTATCTAAGCAAAGCACTTGGTGAGAAGCATAAGCAACTATCTATTTATGAGAAGGAGTTTTTGGCACTGATAATGGTAGTGGAAAAGTGGAGGCACTACTTGCAAAGACAATTATTTATCATCTTGACTGACCATAGATCCTTAGCCTACTTGTCTGAGCAGAATCTACACTCTGGTATGCAGAAGAAGGCCATGACAAGGCTAATGGGCCTCTAGTTCAAAATCAACTATAGAAAAGGCAAGGACAACATGGCTGTAGATGCTTTATCTAGGGTGGCTCACATGTTTGCAATACAAGCAGTTTCTATGGTGCAACCACAATGGGTACAGGAGGTGCTCAATTCATATACAACTGATCCTCAGTCTCAACAACTGCTCAGTCAATTGGCTATTCATAGCCCTGATGACAAGGGATATAGACTAGACCAAGGGTTGATCAAGAAGAATGATCTTATCGGGATTGGCAATAACTCAACACTTCAAACAAAATTGATAGCTGCCTGTCGTTCAAGTGCCCTGGGTGGCCATTCTGGAGTAAATGCAATCTATCACAGATTAAAGAGACACTTTGAGTGGAAAGGGATGAAGACTGACATTGACGGTTACATCAAATAGTGCACCGTTTGCCAGCATACCAAACATTCACACAATCATTCAGCTGGTCTGTTACTGCCTCTACCCATTCCAGTTGGTGTATGGAGGGATTTGTCTATGGACTTCATTGAGAGTCTCCCAAAATCTGAAGGATACACTGTTATCATGGTGATTGTAGACAGACTCACCAAGTTTGCCCATTTCATCCCTGTCAAGCACCCCTACACTGCCAGCTCCATTGCTCAGCTGTTCATGGATAACATTGTGAAGCTTCATGGCATGCCTCAATCCATAGTCACAGATAGGGACACTATCTTTGTTAGTTCCTTTTGGAGAGAATTGTTCAAACTATATAAGGTCAATCTCAACATGAGTACAACATACCACCCTCAAACAGATGGGCAGACTAAAAGAGTTAACCAATGCCTTGAAATGTACCTGAGATGCTCAGTACAAGACTCACCAAAAACTTGGAAAGCATGGCTGTCCTTAGCTGAATTATGGTACAACTCATCCTTTCATAGCTTCATTGGTTGTTCTCCCTTCAAGGCTTTGTATGGATATGATCCTGATCTGGGTGCAGCAACAACACCATCACCAGATACCTCTCCTCCCATAACTCAAATCATTGAAAACAGGGAACTCCACATCCAGGTTCTCAAGACCAGGCTGCAGCAAGCTCAAAACAAAATGAAAGTGTTTGCTGACAGAAACCTAACTGATCAACAGTTCAACATGGGAGATTCATTATTACTACGCCTCCAACCGTATACCCAATCTTCAGTGGCAAACCGACCCTTTCCAAAACTGTCCTACAAATTTTTTGGACCATACATGATTCTAGAGAAGATTGGAGCAGTGGCATATCGTTTGCAGTTACCTGCTGACAGCGCCATACACCCAGTGTATCATATTTCTCCGCTTAAGCTATTTCACCCGGATTACACACCTCTATAGTCTACTCTGCCCACTGTCACTAACATGGAGGCTACAATAGCTGTACCAGAGCAAATCCTAGAACATCGCCTCGTCAAGAAAGGTAACAGTGCCATTCCTCAGGTACTACTCACATTGATAGGGTTACCGGCTTCATCGGCCACCCGGGAAGACTACAATGTTGTCGGGAAGCGTTTCCCAGTGGCACCTGCTTGGGGTCAAGCAGAACCTTCGGCGAGGGGAGATGTCACGGCACAAGGGTGAAGACGAAGGAGAAGGCGCGGCATAGAATAGAAGGCGTATTCCTATCATTTATGTAATAGCAAGAGCATGACATGTGGGGTTGTTTAGACAGTCGGCCAAGGGCCTTATATTCCGAACTATTGCTGTAACAAGGACATCGACAATATCTCCTACAACTAAAAAGAACAAAAGTAAGACAATTTTTTGGTGCGACTTTTTTTTGGGTCGCTCCTCCCTTCCGGCCGTGCGATACCCCGCGTGATAGAAAAAGAAACTACCATCCCTGCGATCCCTGCATGCTTTGAAGGAAACAAATCGATCACCTGAGGCCACATGCATGGAAGGAAACAATAATCATGCATGGAAGAAAACAATCATGCGGTGCCCCTCTCTCGCTCGGTCAGATATCTTTCATCTCCATGTAAACCAGATCATCGATCGACGCCAGGCCAACATCGACTCACCCCTCCTGTCCTTCCCGTGGTGCGCTCTCGCGAATCCACGCCACCCTGTAGAAGACGCCGGACACCACAACGCCCCACCGCCGCCACACGCCAGGCACTCGTCGGCCAGACACCACGACGCCAATCCGGCCCTCAGACACCGTCTGAACACCCCCTCCTCGTCCGACAGCCATGCCGTCGACGCCGACCACCGTCGGATGACTGCGAAGAGGCCCTCGATGATGCCGCACTAACAGAAGGCGACTGCAACTACTTTATCAGGTGCGGTTTATGATTTCATCTTATTCTGGATGATAACTTTTTTTCCTTCAATTTCCTTACTCAACCAATGATTTCATGATAATCATGAGAAACACTACTATAAGATGATCGCTGCATATTTGAGATTATGCAAATTTTATTTAATCATGTTCCTGTGTGAACGAGGTGCTATTGGAACCTGCTCATATGACTGCATCCTACCTCTCCCTATCCTCACCGTTGCTATTAAGATCTCCTCCAGCGCCGTCCTCCTCTGCGATGCCCTCTCCACCAGGGCGAGGTCCATAGGATCCAGCGGCAACAAGGTTGAGGGAGTCACATGGTAGCGAGATCCATCAGCAAGCATCCTGGTTTTGGTGTATTATTTGATTTATTTCTCGATACACTGCTAGAGGGACTGTACTAAGCTGTGCGTTGCTGCAGATGGCTCCTGGTGTATTCTTGTTTGATCCTGCTGGACAAGAAGGCCTGAGTGGCGATAACTCAGGCGATGGAATTGGTCCGCCATCGTGGAAGTTTAGGATCGACGTCGACTTGCTTGATGTAAGTGTAGCCGCCATTGCCCTTTTGTTTCAATTCTCAGACTAATGGTTGTTTGTTAGAGTTCAGCAAATTCAGTTCAGTTGTGCAATAAATTTAGTTTTTCACTATCATCAGTCATCAGATATTCATAATTCGAATCTGAATATAAATAGTATTAGGAGTCTGTATACTTGAAACAGTGTGCAATACATTTTCGTTCATCATTGATACTCATCAATCAAGGACTCCACAGCTGGTGGCTCTTGCGGAATAAGTGGTGGCACCAGCTCAGGTGCTCCCCGCAGATGCTAGGGTGAGCTGGATGGGCTGGAGAATCTGTATGTCAAGATGTCCATGCGCAGGGTCTCCGACAGCCAACTATTTTTTACTATTATTGAATTGCATAAACTGTTTTTTTGCTAAGAAAATGAAGTTAACACAATTAGTTGATTGGGATTATCATTTACTCTTTTTTCAAATAGTGGTCTTTATTTCGGAGCCCTTCATGCAGTTTAATAATGGCTGGGGAGCTAGGATTGCGAGAACTTACTCTTAATTGGGTTGCGAGCTAGGGATGTAGCACTTCAATGGGTGTCTTGGTTGAGTTCTACAATTACCAAAAATTGATGGTGCTGATAAGATTGACAATCCTGTAACTCTGCAGTACCTTTCTTTTTTTTCAAAAAAAGGAGGGCAAATGCTACTTATGGTCGAATCCATGTTCTTTTTGTTGTTTTGATTTGATGCCCACAGCCCACATGTTAACTTTCAGATGTGTTTGTAAAGAATCAAAAGGAGTTGGTCTAATGCCAATCTTTCTTGTCGTCTTTTCATTCTTTATGTTTATATAAATTCTCACCAACAAGTACATGGCTAGGTAATGACCGTAATGATGCATCCTTTAGCCAGTGTGCCCCCTTGAGATCTACTGACTGCTAGCTTATGCATATTGTCTTTTATTTGCAGGGTAGAGAGCTATACATGAAACATTCAACAGTTATTTTCAAGCTATATCAGAAACTTTAATTCATGTCTTTTATTTTCATCGAAGAAAACTCATCCGAGGATGAGATTGTTGGCCTGACAAAAATGTTCAAAACACGATATGAATTTTTAAAATACTATTGTTCTTCAAAGAATCTTACATCTTATACATTCCTTTCCTTGCTTGGAGGTATATATTATTCAGATTTCCTTTGCTACTTGATCTGTGCAGTTCTTTTTCCTCTTAGAAAAGAAATCATTGAACTTTATACTTGAGACACAATATATCAGGCCTCATCAATGAAAACCTTTCAACCAATAATAATTGATCCAGTAGAGGCACCTAAACCTTTAGTTACGCATACTGCAGTTTAAGTTTCTAACACGAGAGAGAGAGGGAGGGAGGAGGGAACATAGTGCTATGTAAAGTGAAGTATAGCAAAACTGAATCGTCAGCTTCACACAAGAAAATTAGAGCATGTTGATGAAACTTAAGCAACATTTGTGGCACTAAGAGTGGACACATCTAGATATTAGTTGCAATCTATATTTTCTATCATATTTGCAGCTTTCTGAAGGGTAGACCTTTAGAACTTTCCACAGCTAATAAGCAGGGCTGGAGCTAGAACAGTAGTGGTAGTTGAAAAGTTTGGAACATCACAGGTCCTAATAGTCATAGATGATTGGACTAAATATGCTTGTTTGAGAAAAAAACAGAATCTCTAAGTTGTGGATTTTTTGCCTATTGGTGTAGTCCGTAGGTTGTCTTTCCAAGCGACATGGGAAGAGATCTTCATTGATATGCACCAATCCAAGAGCACAGTGTGAGATTTTTATGGAGTAATTCAACAGAATTCAACATAAGATTTTGTAATTTGTTAGTTTCAATAGGATAATTGTTTTTTTGTGTGTAAATGTTGCAGCTCCTTTCAGATTATGATGCAGTGGCTTCGGGTGCACCTTAGCTTGTTGAAGAATTTGTGTGGGAGAAAGTTGAAGCAACTGCAGTTAAGCCAAAGATATGTCTCAATAGCATGTAGAATGCCAAATTTACTTTTCCTGCACAATTATTGTCGACGTGCCAGGTTACCAGTTGTGCTATAGGTTACTACCACTACCGAAAACAGTCGCTTTGCCATGTGCCACAGGCACTCGACAAAGCCCAAAAAACACTCGGCAAAGGATTTGTCGAGTGTAACACTCGACAAATAGCACACGGCATCTATAGTGCCGGCAAACGGTGCTTTGCCGAGTGTTTTCTATCGGGCACTCGGCAAAGACTTTGCTGAGAGCTGAAACCGACACTCGGCGAAAAAAAGTAACGTGACGGAGTGACAACGGTCACGGCGCGTTTGCCGAGTGTCAAATCTCAGGCACTTGGCAAACCTTCTGTATTATGATCCTCGGATACCAAGGTAATGAATTTTGATTGTGGATCGAATGCTGTTAACTAGATTTTGTATATGCTTGGTAAAAGAATTGTTGGGGAAGTACAAAAGGCAGAATCCAAATTATTCCATGGATTAACTAAACTTTAGTTAAATTTTTAGCAGATGCAGAGATAATGAAATGAGAGTTTCAGTCTAATATTTTGGGGCTCTCTGCTGTCACTTAGAAAAAAAATATGTTGTCTCATAGGACAAAAATATATTCTATGATAAAAAAAACTATGCATGTGCATGTTCAATACTTAGGTGTATTATATGATGGAGTTAACATGTCGGTTACAATAGTTCATATGGTATTGTCCATAATTTGGAGGGTATTAAATTTAGGCTGGGTGCATAGTAGGCCACCTAGCTTTATTCTTGCAACTTCTACCTCTTTATGTGTTAGTCTTTGCCAATGGTATAATTTGTTTGCAAAGCTCAAGCAAGACAATTGGCAAAGATCAAGCAAGACTACTCAATGAGGTTGATCCTTAATTTTAGTGTTTTCAGCATGCAGACCTAAAATTAAAAAGTGGCTGCTCCTTGAGAATATCAGTTGTGCCAAATAAAAGATGTGCAGGTTATACATGGTGAGACTGGTGAACCTTCTACAATTTCCTAAACGAATATTCCCACCATTTGTATATAGGTCCATTCTCCTGCGATTCTTCGTGCTCCCATTAGCATATAATATGAAAGTATTGTTGTGTTCATCACGACTTCTAGTTGACTACTCCCATTAGCATATACTTCCTCTGCCCCAAAATATAAGTCGTTATGGGATGCGTGCAGGTCAAACTTTCTCAATTTTGACTAGGTTTGTAAAAAATACGTGCAACATTTATATCTCCAAATAAGTTTATTATAAAAATATATTCAATGGTCTATGTAATGATACTAATTATGTATTATAAATATTAATATTCTTTTATATATAATTGGTCAAAGTTAAAAAAAAGTTGACTTCTCGGAAAGTGAGAATGAATTCTATTTTGAGACAGAGGGAGTATATGAAAGCAGTGTTGAAAATATTTTAACAATCAAGTTCGTCTCTGTCTGATTGGTAAGCTTAGAGATCATAATGGCATCAAAAATTTCGACTCTCATGGACATCCTCATGGATCAGTGCAAAGCATCCCAATCCTACAGCATACACAAATGGCAACCTTAAAGTTATGATATTTTCAAAGGGTGGACAATAAAGACCATCTTAGATGTTCTAGCATTAGAGTATATACGTGCAGACACATAGGCATGATGATGCAAGTGAGCAGCCAGCAGGAGTCGAGAGTTAGGGGTGTTTGGATCCCAGGACTAAACTTTAGTCCCTGTCACATCAAATTTTTAGATATCAATTAGGAGGACTAAACATGAGCTAATTATAAAACTAATTACATAAGTTGTGGCTAATTCGCTTGCCATCGCCGTGTACAGGATGGTATGGAGATGTGGTGGAACTTATTTGTGGATTTGTTGGGGCACGAAAAAAATGGATATCGGAAATCTCTTCCTGCCGGTATAAAAAATGATCTTAGTCAAACTTCTTTAACTTTGACTCATATGCTAACATCTAAGACATCAAATTAGTTCTATTAAAGTATCCGTTTGAGATGATTTTTTTTCAAAACTTATAGATGTTAATATATTTTCTAAACAATTCAGTTAAAGTTCAATAAGTTTCATAACTTAGAACAAAACTAAAATATAGTTGTGCTTCATCACAATTATATTTAAGACCATTTTATCTGATTTATGATCGAATACTACTCTTAACACTCTGTTTGGTTCACTGAGTTTGTTGAATGAACTGATTTACTGCTCAATTTCAAATATGTATAAATCTGTATGGAAATAGAAATGGGTTTCAGTTCAATTATTGTGTTTGGTAACTGAAATGGGAATTGGATGGAACCAAATCTAAGCAACTCTAACAGATCACTAGTTGCTCTCCTGATTCCAAAAACTATCAATTTGAGCTTTTGGAGGGCTCCAATTAATTAACAATATTCTTTTACTACCAAAAGAGAAAACATACATCGAGGAGGGAGTTACTGAAGCTCTGATGGGGATTGGGGATTTAAACGGGATGCTAGTTGAAAGAATCTAGGCCCCTAGTTGGGTTTCGGTGATTAATGACGACATGAGATTACTATGACTAACGTGTGTTTTGCAGAAGCAATTTAAGTTAGGTCATGGTAATGGAAATTGATTGGGCAATCATGGTTGTCATGCCCCTGTCGATGGAAATCGCTTCGGTTTTCAAAGGATGGACGACAATGTTAAGGATGGACTAGTTCTAAGTGTCGTTTGGTGTTGGAGAGACACTTAAGAGTAGTTTAGGACTTTGTTTTTTCTTTGGCCGTACTATTAAGGGGGGTATGGACTAGTAGCTTGACCTAGGTGAGTCTAGTGGGTTAGGTGTGGTGCACACTTGTCAAATCTAGCACTAGGTAGCTCAGGAATAGCCCTAAGATCAATTGGAGTAAACTTCATTCACATAGGATTTCGAGTTGGAGGTCAATGGAGGGTCAAATGATTGACCGGACGCTGGTCTGGTTGTGACCGGACGCTAGAGGGTGACTCCGGTCAGTTCATTTGATCAACTGCAGTCATCTGGTACTGACCGAACGCTGAGTGAAGGTGCACCAGACGCTGGGGTACCAGAGTCCGGTCAACTCCAGAGAGGTTCCAGAGAGACTTTTTCCTGACCGGACGCGTCCAGTATGTGCTGATCGGACGCTGGTCAGAATTTGGTACCTGACCGGACGCTGAACAGTGAAGTGACCGGACTCTGGGTGCCAGCGTCTGGTCAACATCAGTAAGGTTCCAGAGAGCATTTTTCTTGACCGGATGCGTCCGGTGGGTACTAACTGAACGCAGGTTAGAGTCCGGTCAGAGCTTAATGACTCTTTCTGACAGAGTTGCGGGTATAACTGACCGGAGTGTTCGGTTACCCTGACCAGAGCGTCCGGTCAACCCATAGAGTGCTGACTCAGCCTCCAAACGTTATGTTTTGAATGAGGGGTATAAATACTTACTCCACTAGTCCATGGGAGGTCTCTTGACCATTTATTTAGCTGAGAAACACCTTTGGAGTGCAAGGGAGAGCAAGAGCCTAGTGAGGTGATTGAGATTTGAGAATCCAAGATTAAGGACCTCATTAGTGCATATAGAGTAGCAAGTGTGCATCCACCCTTCTCATTAGGCTTGTCTTGGTCAAGTAAGAGTTTGTGCTTGTTACTCTTGGTGATCGCCATCACCTAGACAGCTCGGTGGTGATTGGGAGCTTGGTGATCATCTGGCGGAGCTTGTGGATGACCCAAGTTAAGTTGTGAGCGGTTGTGGGCGATTCACCACGATGGAGTGTCAAAGAATCAGCCCATAGAGGGCACTTGATCCTTGCGTGGATCAAGGGGGAGCTACACCCTTGCGCGGGTGCTCCAACGAGGACTAGTGGGGAGTGGCGACTCTTCGATACCTCGGTAAAACATCGCCGCGTTCCTTTCACTCTCTTTACTTTTGAGCATTTACATTTGAGCAATTCATTTCATGTCTTTATATTCCTAGAATTGCCATGATAGAGTAGGATTGGAACCTAGGGTGTAAAACTTT